GAGCTCCTGCCTCGCTGCTGGCACATTCGCTAGCGCCCTGGATTTCTTCACCGCGATCTCTAGGTCGGCCTCGCCGAGCAGTACCTTGAGGTGCCTGGCCGCCAGCGCGAGGTCGTTGACTGTCCGCTGGAAGCCGCCCACCCTCTTCAGGATGATGTCATCCACGACCACCGACATCGCCAGCGTGGGAACCAGCTCCTGAAGCTTGTCCAGCGGCTCAAGCAGCAGCATCTTGAGCATGAGCGTCGCCAGCCCGTCTCCTGGCAGCACCGCCTGCTCGGTGCTGATGGCGTTGCTGACGGCTTCGTCCCGCGCCAGCCACCTGGGCGCTCGGTACAAACTCACCTGCAGCTTGAGCTGCCAGAGCGGGAAGCCCGTCCGCTGGGCGGCCTGGATGAGGCGCCCATGCTGCACCTGCTCGTACGCCTTGAGCAGGTCCAGGAGGATGAGGGCCGCGACCCAGCTGGATGCATCACCAGCTTCGCGCCCCTTCGCTGTCGCCCACTCGCACTCCACGGCCTGCTGCCAGACTGCCCTCTCGCAGCCTCTGCCGCGCGCAGCCCAGAAGAAGGGTCGATCATTCCTGCGCTCCCACTCCTCCGCCAGGGGCTTGCGTAGCCTCGTCTGCACCCTAGCGAGAACGTGCACGATGGCCACGGGGCGCACGCCGCCCAGCCTCTTGGCCAAGAACACGATCTTGCTCTGGATCTGCGGCCACTCCGCCGCCTGTTCGACCGCCACCACGATGTCGATGAGGGTCTCTATCCCCTCGTCGCTGAGCTCCAGCAGCTGCCTCGGCTTGATCTCCTCGAATCCCGTGGCCGTGCCCTTCCTGAAGGACCTCAGGACTGCCCGCATCACCTCGCAGCTGGGCCTGGGGGGGCGCTCACCTAGATCGGTCGGCCACTCCAGCTCGGCGTGGCTGCACTGCACCCTCCAGATCTTGCTCCACTCCTTCTCTAGGTCGTCCAGCTCCTTGCTCAGGCTGGCGGGTCCAGCATCGATGCTGCAGTCGCTGCCCTGCCAGCCCACCGCCACTCGCGTGACCGCGTGGAGCCCTGCCGCTCCTCCTGTGAGCTGCTTGCCAACCCACTCGTCGAACTGCCTGCCCCTCTCGCCGACATCGCGCTTGGCGAGGTGACTGGCGTGCTGCTTCGCGCGGTCGGCCAGTCTCTCGGGCAGTCGGGGGTGCCAGCACGCCAGGCCCCCATGCTGCAGCATCCTCAGCCAGCGCCCAGCCTCCGTGCTGCAGGAGGTGCCGCCTCCTTCTCCTGAGCGGGCCTCCTCGCCCTGCTGCAACTTCCTGACTCTCTTCGGGACCGCCGCCACCAGCTGGGGCAAGTAGCAGATCGCGTCGACCCTGGCCCTTGGCGATTTCAGCTGCGCCATGGCTCCCAGCGCGTGGGCCACCCTGGCCATCCACGCTGCCTCTGGCGTGAGCCTCGGCGACCTGGGGTCCTGCACCCCGCTGCGCTTGACCAGCTTGGTGGAGAAGCCGTCCGCTCTGCCAACGTACCTGGCCCTCTGCTCCTCCAGCTGGTATACGTCGACCCACTCGTCCTCCGCGCACTCCAGGAAGGTGGCGAAGGCGGCTGTGAGGGCTCCCTTAGCCCCCTCCGCCGCGGCGCCCTGGGCCCGCACGTCCTGCTGCAGGTGCTGGGCCTGCCCCGCCGAAGAGGCTGCCTGCCTCTTCTCGACCCAGAGGCTGGGGGGCCTCACGTGCACTCCTTCAGCCGCTTCAACCTGAAAGGGACTACCCGCGATTCCGTACGGTGCCTGGCTCGGATGTGCACTGCCAGTCCCAGCATGGGGAGGACTGCCCGCCTGCTCCTCCTGCGCAGCGCTGCCCGCGGCACTGCTGCCCCTTCTCTCCGCTGCGTCGGCTCCATGCGCTCCTGGCGCCTGAGCCCCGAGGTGCGCTGGCTGGACCTCGCCGCGTGGTGCTGCGCCGTGCCCTTCATCGCCATCTTCCCGCCGTAGCCCGCAGCTGTCGAGGAAGCTCTTCCACTCCACGCCTTGCTGGGCGCGGCACCTCATCAGCTTCTCGTCCGTCACGCAGGAGGGCGGCGCAGGTGCGGTCGGGATCACGCTGCCTTGGGGCCCCCCTCTCTCCGCCGCAGGCACCTCCTCATCTTCCTTGCCCCTCACTGGGCTGGGAAGCTCCTGGCCTGCTCTAGCTGCGCGCTGACCTGCTGCTCCACCGCTGCTGCTGGGCTGAGAGGCCCCCTCCTCAGCGGCAGAGGTCGCCTGCCTCTTCTCGACCCAGAGGCTGGGGGGCCTCGCGTGCACTCCTTCAGCCGTATCAACCTGAAAGGGCCAACCTGCGATTCCGTACAGTGCCTGGCTCGGAGGTGCACTGCCATTCCCAGCATGGGGAGGGATGTCCGCCCGCGCCTCCTGCGCAGCGCTGTCCGCAGCGCTGCTGCCTCCTTTGTCCGCTGCGTCGGTGCCCTGCTCTCCAGGCGCCAGGGCCCCGAGGTGCGCTGGCTGGTCCTCAACGCCTGGTGCAGCGCCGTGCTCTTCCGCGCCAACTTCTCGCCGTAGCCCGCAGCTGCCGAGGATGCTCTGCCACTCCTCGCCATGCTGGACGCGGCGCCTCATCAGATTCTCGCCCGTCACGCAGGCCGGCGGCGCAGGTGCGATCGGGAGCACGCTGCTTAGCGGTCCCCATCTCTCCGCCGCAGACACCCCCTCATCTCCCTGGCCCCTCACTGGCCTGGGAAGCTCCTGGCCTGCTCTAGCTGCGCGCTGTCCTGCTGCGCCACCACTGCTGCTGGGCTGAGGGGCCTCCACCTCAGCACGTGGGGTGCTCCTCGCTGCGGCCTCACCCTCGAACCTCAGCACCGAGGCGAGCTGCTCCTGCACCCTCAGCCTGGCTTGCCTCCAGCTGCTGCCGTGGTCTCTCTCACAGCACCCTTGTGGCCGAACCTCAGGAAAGGTCCGCGGCTTCTGGACCAGCCTGAAGCGCCCCTCCTCTTGCTGCCTGCGGATCTCGAGAATCACCGCCGAGTGCGGGTACACTGGCGAGGCCTCCACCACCCGCACACCCAGCGCAGCCAGTCCCTTGGACACCAGGAAGAAGTCGATGGTCCTCCCCGACGCTGCGCACGTGGGCGAGGCAGGCCTGACTACCTTGCCATCGAACATGTCGGGCACCCCGCCTGCTCTTCCTCCGTGAGGTTCCAATCGCCGCCCACCACGAAGTCCCTGCGGCACTGCCTCAACCTCCTTGCCAGCCTCCTGAGGCTGGCCACGTTGCTATCGTTGAGGCCGACCCCCGCCTCCAGGTAGAGGTTGGCGAGCAGGAAGCCGCTGCGCAGCACGCCCGACACCCAACACAGGTGCACCCGCCCTGCCACCAGCACCGCTGCCTGCTGGTCCTGCACCTCCGCCATGCCGTGGCTCCTCCTCACCATGGTGAGGAGGCCTCCTGTGCTGAGGCCTCCTGCCGCTGACGGCACCGCGGGCGTGCCTCTCGCCCGCCACCCTTGGCTTCGGAGCTGCGCCTCCGCATCACTGCTCCTTCCCTCCAGGAGCCTCGTCTCCTGGACCAGTATGGCGTCGCAGTCCTGCACCTCGCTCACCGCCATGCACTTGCCCAGGTTGCAGAACGCATTGACGTTGACCGTGCAGATCTTCCAGACCCCACCTTTCTTGCTAGGAGTCCTCCTCCATCTGCTTGACCTCCGTCCGCATCTTCTTGGCGTCACCCAGCAACTGCTCGGCTGCTTCCCTCTTGGCGGGGTCCTCAATCCCGCACGCGATGTCCTGCCACACCTGCTGCGCCGCCTGCGACACGCCAGGCCCCTCCTCCTTGGGAGCGTCCACCTGCTGCGCTGCTGCTGGCACCGCCGAAGGCACAGGGACCGCCGCAGCCACAGGCGCACGGGGGGGCGCCCCCGCAGCGGCGGCAGCGCCAGGCATGCCACTGAGCTCCGCCAGCATCTTCCCGAGTTTCGCGATCTCGTCCCTCGACAAGCCGCCGATCGCCTCCTGAGTCGACTCCAGGGAGGCCGCTGGTGCTGCTCTCGGCTCGGCGGCTGCTGCCGCCGCCTCAGCCTCCTCGGCCGCCATCCTGGTGCGCTGACCGGCCAGCGCCTCACGTGCCTTGGCCGCCGCCTCATCGCACTCCTTCCGCAGCAGCACCAACTTGTCCGCGAGGCTGGCCGACTCGTTGATGGCCGCCACCGCCTTGGCCTTCGCCTGCTCCAGCTGGCCCTCCATCTTCTTGACCTGCAAGACCTTGGCGTCCGCCAGCACCTGGGCCGCCTTGACCGTCTTGTCCTTGGACAGCTCAGCCCCCAGTCCGCCCTCACGCAGCCTCCGTGCCTGCAGCAGCTGCTCGCGGACCTTCGGGGCCAGGAGCGCGGCGGTGAGGGCGAAGTCGGCCTCTGCCATGCACACGAAGCCACTGCGCTGCTCCTCGCTGAGCTCCACGGCGCCACCAGCGTCACGGCCGCCACCTTCTCCACCTCGCCACCACGGGGCACGAGTGGGAGGCTTGCCACCGCCTGCCCCACGCCCGCCGCGCCCGCCGCCAGCGCCGCCAGGAGCACCACCACCGCCACCGCCTGCAGTCCACCCACGTAGCGGAGGAAAGGCGCCCAGCTGCCGCGGCGCTGACCACCCCGCAGCTTGGCACCCCTTACGACAGCACGTCCTCTCGGCGAAGTTGTAGTAGTCGCACACCGAGCACTTCCACTTCGCAGGCCACGCCGCGCGGCCGCCTCCCCCACGCCCAGCACCCACGCCGCCGCTCCCCGCCATGGCGCGCGTGAGTATGGGAGGAGGCCGCCCGACTGCCAGAGTGCACACACTCTTGCCTGCGCACGGTAGTGCGATCCAGTGAAGCACGGAGGCTGAAAGCCCCCCGAGCAACCCATCTTGAGCCGAAATGGCTACGGAGGAGGAGGAGGAGGAGGAGGAGGAGGAGGAGGAGGAGGAGGGGGGGAGGGGAGGAGGAGGAGCGCGGAGGGCGGGAGAGGCCAGGGGGCCCGCACCGCGACGCACGAGACGGGCTTGAAGTTGCACCAGACCTTCGGGTCCGGCTTCGGCGGCGCACCCTCCTCCTCCTCCTCGCCGGCGTCCTCGCGGCGGGCGGGCGGGGTGCGGGCGAGGGGGCGTGGGGGAGGCGAGCAGGAAGGAGGCGGGTCGAGAGGGAGGGGGGCGGGGGCAGGAGGACTGGAAAAGAGAGAGGTGTGGAGGGAGAGTGGAGCGGGGCGGAGCGAGGCGAGGAAGGGGGCAAGGCGGGGGAGGGGGGGACGGGGAGGGGACAGAGGAAGCGGAGCAGGGGGCGAGCTGGAAAGGAGGGGAAGGACAAAAGGGGTGGCAAACTGCAGGCACGGACTCGCCACATCTGACGTCCTACGCCTCTCACCCATCCCGTCCCATTGCGTTTAACCCTCCTCTATCCACCGACTAGGGTGTCCTAAAATACCTTGATCCCCACATGGCAGGTGCTGTGCAATCGGGAACGGGGGACGGGGGGCGAGGGCAATGGCTGGGCCGTCGGGAACGGGGGGCGATGCACTGGGAAGGGCAGAGCGACAGGGAAATCGGCAGGGAGGAAGGGGGGGGAGCGGGAGGAGTTGGAGCAGGACGAGCTGAGATAATGGTACTTCGAAGTGTGTCCCAAGACTTGCCCCTCCCCAGGGTTCAACGCACCTGCTCTCCGGGCTGCGTCCCCCCGAGGGGGGGCCCCCCCTGCCGCTCTCTCGACTCGCCCTCCTCTGCAGGAGGGGGGGGCGGCGCAGGGATGAGGGAGGTGGAGGAGGAGGAAGAGAAGGAGGAGGAGGAGGAGGAGGAGGAGGAGGAGGACGAGCGAGGAGCGAGGATCGAGGAGGAGGAGGAGGATGTGGAGGAGGTTGAGGAGGAGGAGGACGAGGAGGAAGACGAGGACAAGGCGGAGGAGGAGGCGGAGGGGGAAGGGGAAGGACCTTGAAATGCCCAGCCCTGGCGCGCACCGCCCGGGCGGACGGGGCACCGCGCGCGCTACCCGCGCAGGGGGATCCTCGTCGTCACGGGGCTGCTCCTTCTGCTGGTACTCGCCGGTCACCTGGTTCCCGTCCTGCGTGGCGGAGCGGGGGGATTTTGAGGTTGGCGACGGAGGAGGGCGAGGACAAGGAGGAGCAGTGGGGGATCGAGAGGGGGAGCGGGGAACAAGGGGAGGCGGGGGGGAGAATGATGGAAGGGTTGAGGGGAAGGGGGGCAGCATTGGGAGTGGACAGGGGACGAGGAGGATGTCTGTCGGTGGTAGGATGAAAGGGGGAGGAGCACGGGGGTGAGGAGGGCGGGGTGAAGAAGAAGCGGAGGAGCGGGAGGGGAAGAACACTGCATAGGGAAGCCAGTCCCGAGCAGAGCAGCACGCACCACGACCACGACCATGGCGCCCACGACGACGACGACGATGACGACGACGACGACGCTCACGGGGCTCGCTTACGATCCGCACCGCAGCACGGATCTGAGAAAGGGCCCATCATGAAAGGTCTGGTATACTGCACATCGTTGAGCGGTGCTGCGGCCTTCCCCCCAAGCACAGGCCCTCCGCCAACGCAACGACCAGACATTCTGGCCCCCTCGTGCCTTCTGAGCCTGGGAGGGACGCGTTTCGGCACCCTCTGCCCAAACCTCGCCAGGGCCACCGACAAGGGAGAGGGCGGTGGTGGCCGACGCGTCCCAGGGAAAAAGAGCTGGGAAGACATTCGGACAGACAGGACGCACAGACATACAGTGCGTCTCTAGGAGAAAGAGGAAGGGGAGAAGGCCGAGGTCCTGGAACGTGGAAAAATCAGGGTGAGGGGAGGATGAGTCAGAGGGGTGCAGAAGACGAGGAGCAGGAGGATGAACGGAGGATGAGGAGAGGGGGAAGGGGAGGAACTGAGGGGGAGGACAAGGACGGCGACGCCGACGAGATAAAAGGTAGGCGGTGAAACGAGAAGGTGAATACCAGCGTGAAAATGTATTATTGTCCTCCTGCAAGATTGCGCGGAAAAAGGTGTCGGGGTGGTCCCTCCGTGCCAAATCCATCTACGGTTTCTTCCTCTCTCCCGCATCCTCCTCATGCCCTATCGGCCATACAACTCCTCCCTCCGCATCCCTCCTCACCTTTCACCTCCTCCTCCTTCCTCCTTCAAGTCCTCCTCCACGAAGGGTGCATGAACTATTGATGCTGCTGTCTCTGGTTGGGCATCTCAATGCAAGCTGCATACGCCCCATCAGGGAGGGCAGAGAGAACTATCTTTGCACCTCATCAAAACATCCAGCCAACGACAACGCCATGGAGCACCCACGTAAACACAATCATGGCTGGTATGCACACGAATGATGCATGCTAACATGCAACGTGGGGAGATGCAAACCCGATCGCTCCTTGAACACCCAAACGCCTTTGCCGAAGGGCTTGTTATAACGGAACCTGATCACGCCAGAAGCACGCAAGCAATATGTACCGAACAAGGCTGGAGAATGGGTGAGAACAATACCTCGAAAGAGTTGCTCGACAAGATGACTACACATATGAGAGATCGCATGTTGTTCTCAAGCACATCAGGTTGCGCATCGCCATCAGCATTTCTAATCCAGGGAGTTCTAATCAGAAAGACCCAACGTACCAACCATAATACAAATAGTACTGGCATAGCTGCGGTCGACCCCGAATGGTTCGGGGCCGAGATAGAAGCCTGGAGGGCTGCGAAGCTCGAGCTCGACTCCGATCCTCTAGGACTCGGACCTGGAGCACGCGGTATCCGCCAACCCTTTCCGAACGGGGCAAAGCAGGAGGAAAAGTCTAAGAGGGAGGGTAGTCCAGCCGAAGACCTGCCAAAAGGAAAACAGATAGCCGAAATGGTCGCGCAACACTAAGAGGCTTCTCGGAGAATTCGCATGTCCCGAATGCAATCGACGGGCCCACTGGAGTCGACAGACGTAGTGTAAACCAGGAAACCAGGAAGGCAAACAAACCTAATTATGTTTCTCCATAGGTCTGTTTTGAAAGATGACAGCTGTCTCCCCTTCTCGGGCTCCCGACACCGCAAGACCGCCCCAGAGACTGCAATATTGCCCCAAGACGGCCCAAGAAGCCCCCAAGAGGGACCCAGGATGGCCCAAGAAGGAGCCAAGGTGCCCAAGAGGCCCTCCGAAAGAGTCCCAAGACAGCACAACGAGGCCCAAGGACGGCTCAAGAGACCCCGAACACGGCCCTTGAGGTTCGCGAGACGGCCCCAAAAGGACCCCGAGGGGCATCCTAGATGGCCTCCGAATGCGCCAGACGCCCCAAGAGTGCCCGGAGACCACCCAAGACGCCTCCAAGATGCCCCCAAGAGGCACCAACAGGTCCCGAACTAAGCCGCCAGGAGGCCCCATTATGCCCCCAAGTGGCCCCCAAAGGACTCCAAAAGGCAAGGATGAGGATCCTCTTCACATTCTAGACGAGCACCCCAAGAAGCTAGCTAGAGGGATCTCAATTAGAAGCGAAGCCCCGCCCCTTCTCCACTCGGGATGACACGTTCGACCGCATGCCCGCCGGGAAACCCTTGAGGAGCACCAAGACACAATACAGCAAGACACGCCTCTCGCACCACCACCCCGGCTGCGACGCCTCAGAAGTGGACCACACCTTGAACTTCCTGGCCTTCCCACCTCCGTTCCCCTGGTGCCCTCGTGAGCGGAAAACAGATCCGCATCGACAGCCCCGCGGGGCGGGCCCCTGGGCTGCGACCCCGTGGATACGGGGCGCCACTTTGCGGAAGCCCCGTGCGGAAGGCATCCATGCGACCGCGTGTCCACGGGATCGCGCCCCGGAACCCAGACCGCCATGGCGCGGATCTGGATCGGTTCGCCGCCCGTGGCCCACACAAGGACTCCAGAGGTTCCCGGAGAGCTACTCTCTCCCGACCAGACCTATCATGATCCGTATCAGGCCGTTGGGACAGGACACTCTACAGATAATCTACGCCCACGGGTGGATGGCGGGACCCGCATGGGCCAGAGGCGCGGTGAACGGGGGAGTAGAGGGAGGAAAAGAGAGGTTGTGAAGGTAGATATGTGCATGACATGAAGAATGACAGGCGATGATTCATGTACCTTGGGCGTCGAGCGCGAGGCACCTGCGACTCCTGTGGCCCCACTACAGTAATATTACAATCGACGTGCGTCGAGGGGATCGATCGGTCGATCCCTCGATCGATCCCTCGATCGACCTATCAATTCACAGATCCCTCGATCAATCCATCGATCACCCCGATCCATCGATCGATTCATCGATCGATCCCTCGATCCCTCAATCTATGATGGGCCGGGACGCAATGCCCCTGGGCATGCAACCTGCCGCAGGGGTACCCACAGCGGCTGGCCAAAGAAATCGGCTGCGAGCCGTTCGACAGATGTAGTTTGAAAGCGCGAAGCAAAAGTAAGACGAGGACAAGACTGGAATAACAGCGGACAGGGATAAATCGAAAATCCCTGCGATCTGGCGGTTCTGATGATGGACCTGGCGCCGCTTTCGTTCTAGAGCGCACCCGAAAACTGTAGAGGGCTCCAAGACGCTTCCGAACGAAGTATCCCAGCCCTAGCCCCGCCCGAAGGAAGACACACGAAAGTATGGCCAGAGCAAGCCACCGGCGAAAAATGATGACTAAAGGAGGACCATACGGCACTCAAAGTAGGCAAGCGCTGAAGGTGCGTACATATGACCCCAAGTCGAGGGTTCACAGGCACACCCTCCCAGATGGGCTGGGTCCCAAGGTGTCCTGCGCCCCCCCCTGATGGGACGGGGGGAGGGGACGACGACAACGACGACGACGATGACGACGACAATGGCGACGACGACGAGCACCACCCCACAACCACAGCGGGAGGGGGGGGGCAGCGGCACCCCCTACCACGCCACGCCCTCTGGGCCACTACCACACTATCACGGGCAGGGTGGGGGGGGGTCCCCCCCATCGCGCGGGGGGGGCGGGGCCGAAGGCATCAGCATGTGGGGTAGGGACGCGGACGGACCCCAGGATCAGATACGCACACGGGAATATAGAAAATAATGGTCCCGAGAAGCGACCTTTCAAGATGCAGGGCTCTCTGGCGTTTTCGGAATGCCACCTGTCGAAAGGATCACCTTTCAGGACCGGCCAAGGAAAAGATCACAGGATGGGCAGAAGGGCCATGGGGCAAGGGCATCCTGCGAAATACAGCTCAACCCTGTCATGTTGCGGCGACGACACTATGGGCAGGACGCTCACGGCCCACCTTCCACGCGCTGAGAATCTCAGCGCACGATGAAAACGCCGCGCCTCGGGGCCCTCGACGCATGCAAAGTAATGCGCATGTTCGGATGGAAACAATGCCACGGGCAGTGACCGGCCACCGCGACCCCCATCACCATCCATGCCATCATTACAGTGGTCAGCACCATCAGAATCATCACCATCATCATCAGCAGCATCATCATCACCACCACCATCATCATCATCATAATCATCTTCATTATCATCACCAACCTTATCAGTAGAATGTTCAACAGAAGTAGCATTAGCATCAGCATCAGCACCAACCTCGCCATCATAATCATCATCTGCAGCAGCAACGGCAACAGCATCAGCTCCATCATCAGCAGGGGCAGCAGCATCATAATCATCAACATCACGATCACCAGCATCGTCACCATCACCATCAACATCAACATGAACATCAAAGTCAACGGCAACGTCAACATCAACATCAACCTCATCATCAACATCATCATCATCATCATCATCATCATCGTCATCATCATCATCATCATCATCAACATCCACATCCACACAATCACCACAACCATCGTCATCTTCGTCTGCTTCCTTCTCCCCATCCTTCCATTCCTCCTCCTGCTCCTCCTCCGCCTCTTCCTCCTCCAATGCCCCTTTTCCCCTCCAAGCTCATCCCTTATCATTGCTCATCATCCTGTTATCCGACCCTCTTTCTGTTCCACATCGGTCGGGAACTTGCCGCAGTAGAAGATACCGCTGGGGAGCGTCCACTTGCCTGTGACGATCTTGCCATTCTCCCACTGCCCTGCGGGCAGGAGGGTTCTCCTCCTCCTCCCCCTCCTCCTCCTCGTCCAGCTCCTCCTCCTCCTGCTCTTCCTCTTCCTCCTCCTCCTCCTCTTCCTCCTCCGCCTCCTCCTCTGCCTCCTCCTCCTGCTCCTCCAGATTACGGCCATCCTCTTGGCCCCCCTCACGCTACCAGAACGCACGGGGAAGGATAGAGAGGGAGGCAGGAGGAAGGAGGAAAGGGGATGAGAAGAGAGAGAACGAGGGCGAGGACGTCGAGGTGGAAGGGGGGGCGAGTGGGGGGAGAAGCATGGCGAGAGGAGAGGGCGGGCGACGGCTGCTGCAAAGAAGCCGCAGGCTGTCACCACGCTGCCCTCCGACAGCGGGGGGGGGAGGTGGGTGGGGGGATGTAGAGGGGGAGAGAAGAGGGATGAGGACGAGGCAGAGGAGAGAGGAAGGGGAGGAGATGGAGGACGAGGACCGTCGGCGAGGCGAAGCAGGCCATAGGAGGAAGCCGAGCAAGAACAAACAGGAGAGGTGGCCGCCGTGCCCGCCTGACAGCGTGGTGCTGTCCTTGGCGTAGGTGTAGGTTCCCATGCCGTGCTTCTTGCCCGCCTTCCACTGCCCGACGTAGATGTCGCCGTTCGCGTAGTTGAACGTGCCTCGCCGATCCGACGCCCTGGCCCGTCGCATGGCCGACCTCCACCGTTGCAGATCGCCCAGATCGCTCTCGCTGAACCGAACCCCCTCCGCGAAGCCTGCATGAAAACTCCTCCCCCTCAGGGCGACTGGACCCAACCCAACCCCGTCCGAATCGAACCCCCCTTCCCCCGTCCGCCCCCCACACCCCCAGAAGGTACCCAGACGTTTGCCAAGGGTCCATCCGAAGACGGAAACGCCCCAAGGAACTCGATCCTCCAATAGGTCCTCGGTGTCCCCCATCGAACCGATCCAGCCAACGATATGTCGGCAAACATCGGCAGACACCAACAGACACTGGCTCGCCCCGTCATCGGTAGACATCGCACAACTCGATGCTGCGCGCAGGCATCCTCCAAACATCCCAGGGCGGTCGGTCCGTGGCCCCAACCAGCGCAGTGAATCAGCTGCGCTCGTGCGGGGAGCAACACCGGAGCGGAATGGGGGGGGCGCGGGCAGGCGAGTGGCGGAGCGTGCAGGAGGCCTGATAGGTGGAATGGGGAGGAGTGCAGTGGGAGGCGTGGGGCTGGGAACACTGGCGAGGGGTGGGGCGCAATGGGGTGAAGTTTGAAGGAGTAGGGATGCGTAGAGACGAGTAGGGGGGAGTAGGGAGGAGTGCGGAGTAGCGGAGAGCAGTGCAATTGAGTGGATGTAGTGGAGTGGGAGGAATAGTAAATGCTATGGACGAGCTGGGATGAGCACGGGCCAATGACGTTTGGGGAGACGTAAGTGGGAAGCACCGAGTTCTGGAATGTAATGATTGGGGGGTTGGGA